GTGAGGAACGGCCGGAGGGCTAGAGTGAGGAACGGCCGGGGGGCTAGAGTGAGGAACGGCCGGAGGGCTAGAGTGAGGAACGGCCGGGGGGCTAGAGTGAGGAACGGCCGGAGGGCTAGAGTGAGTGAGCGGCGGCGGCCTAGAGTGAGGAACGGCCGGAGGGCTAGAGTGAGCAGAGGCGGCGGGCTTGAGAACGGCACGGCCAGCAGATTCAACGAAGGAGCGTCCGGAGGGCTTGCAGCAACCACATGTGACGATCCCGGGCTGGACTCCGCTTCGTCCACGATGAAAGCCGATCCAGTGATCCACAGCGCAAAGTTGTTGTATTTCATCAGCGACCAGCACAGATCAGCTCTAGGCATGACGAAGCAGATATCATCCTCTTTTTGAAGGCCAAACAAAGTAGTTTCGCTTTCACAACGAAACACACAGCGCCTTCACGACATGGCGGCGGCAACAACAATACTACAGCAAGAATAAAAGTTACGCCTTCTTTCTTTGCGTGAACATTTGGGCGGCATTATGCAAATCTTCCCACATAGTGACGCAGTCATATCATGGACCTTGAGAACTAGCCGTTTTAGGTAGGTGTGGCTGACTCTTAACTTTTATAAAGAATATCTCTTTGGATTTGAGACTTTAGTCTTTGCAACTTTACAGATCTTCTTTATGCACCAAGAGCTTGTAACACTCCAAAGAGAAAGGAAAAATTGAAATCGCATCATATGACCCCTTTAATATTTGATGACTTTATTCAATTTTTGTAGCGTTTCTTGAATATTAGGCCTGCCTGAAAAAAAAACTTAAAGAACTATTTAATTTATGTCTTTGTTGTAGTTTTATTTGTCCTATTGCTTGTGATTTTCTTATTTTTTATTACTAAGTGTTTACTTAATTGCTTAAGAGTTAGTATGGGGGGCAACATGCTTATTATCAAAATTAGGAGGCCATGAACTCTTGTAAACATCTGTAAATGTGACGGTAGCTGATGCTGATGTAATTCTCGGCCACTCCCATAAATGACACCTGACATTTGCCTTTATATAAGCAAACTGGCAGTGAAATTCTGATTTAGGATCCTGGATCTGCAGTCATATCATAAACATGGGCCTTGAGCTTTAAAGCAGTGAGGACTTTCTCCATGGAATTTCTTGAACATCACTGCTTCCACCACCGTAATACAAGCTGCTCTCTTGACTTTCATTTGACTTATGTCAATGTATTCTTGTTCTTGTACATATCTGCAGTTTCCGTGCTGACAGTGTTTGGAAATCTACTTGTCATCATCTCTATAACAGCTTTCAAGCAGCTTCACACACCGACCAACCTCCTCATCCTCTCACTGGCCCTTTCTGACTTCTTGGTGGGAATTTGTGTGATGCCGGTTGAAAGCCTTAGGAGCATAAACTCCTGTTTTTATATGGGAAAGTCGCACTGTCGGATCTTTCATGTGATTATGTCTGTTCTTGGATCTGCTTCACTCATTAATATCATGCTTGTAGCAATTGATCGTTATTTTGCTGTATGTGAGCCACTCATGTATATGTCTAAAATGACAATTAGAAAAACAATGATGTGCATAAGTTTAGGATGGACTGTGTCCTTCTGTTATAATCTAGTACCAATGAATTTAGGGAATACAAACCTGACAGGAACAACTGTCTTCTGTCTAAGGGAATGTGCAGTGGCTGTCAGCAACGCCTGGGGTCCAACTGACCTGATAGTGAGTTTCATTGCTCCATGTACAGTAATGGTAATACTGTATATAAGAATTCTCACTGTGGCTTTGAGACAAGCTAAAGCCATTTCCATTACTTCAAAGAAAATGGCATCTCAGAAAAATCCAAAATCATTCAGGAAATCAGAGGTGAAAGCAACAAAAACATTGAGTATAATTGTCTTCGTGTACGTGTAATGATGTCCAGTGACTTGTTTGCATTATTTATGCATTATTTTATTTATTTGTAAGACTTTTTTATGACTAAATTTGGTAATGGGAGAGTAAAAATATTTTTAAAACGTACACCGTTCAAACTAGGCTGCTTATGTTGAAGTGTTTGGGATGTGGCTTTTAATGATGAGACCTTTTTTGTAATCAGGCTCTCAAAAAGTATATAACAATTTGGATATAGATTTATCGGCCAACATATCGGTTATCGGCTTTCAAAAATAAAGAATAATCGGTTATCGGTATCGGCCAAAATTTTCATATCGGTGCATCCCTACTATATATGCATACACATGTTTTCCCTGTAATTCTGAGAGCAAATGGGATTTAACGTGTAATCTTTCTAGGTTTGGTGAATTATTCTGTGAAGATCTCCATCATGTCCAGATCAAGCGGAGTTGACACAAATGTGCTGGCGATATATATATATATATATATATATATATATATATATATATATATATATATATATATATAATATAACCATCCATTTTGGCATAAAACTAACTGGGAGGTCGCTCAGTCCTTGTACCAAATGTTGTGCATATTTCTGTTACTCATTGTAATGTGAACAAAAACACATCTAGAAACCACAACATGCAAAAGTGTGTAGGTGAATTTATTATGGAAATGAATGGAAACCATTATGCTCACTTTTACATAAACCAGTAGCACAGGAGGTGTTTTCCAGTGTGTGTTTGTCTAGATATTGTCTTCCGTTTTTACCAGCTAATGAAATCCAGCAGATGATGAGACATTTTGGAACAGCACAAGACACGACTGACCTGCGACAGACATTGTGAGTTTGAATACAAGCAGCTAGTTCAGTTCTCTTTAATTGACCTACATATATGTCAATCCAATTATATTTCTTTGTATTTGTCAAAACCTACAGACAGGAGAAACAGCAGAAGGTCAATCAGCTTGCTAAAGCAACAGACAAATGCATGAAAGATTACAGTGCTTTACCTGTGACCACAGAACAGGTACAGCGTCCTCACTGTCCCACCGCATCACCTCATATACATACAATATTTCCAGTGACAGCACTTAAATAGATTTAAGCAAATATGAGTTATATGATGGAACATTCAACATCCAGAACTTTCTGATTTAGAAATAAATAAAAGGCATTATTTAACTTAAAGGGATAGTTCTCTCAAAATGTAAAGTTAAATTATAATTTGCTTATCCTCATCGTTCCAAACTTTATTTCACTTTATTTATTTCAACTTTATTTGTATTTCAAGATATTTTGAAGAGTGTTGGTAACCAAACAGTTCTGTTTAACATTGTGTTGCAGTGGTAACCAAACTTTCAGTTTTGGGTGAACAACTATCCCTTAAAGTCACATGTGGTTGCCGCAAGCCCTCCGGCTGCTCCTTCGTCGAATCTGCCGGCCACGCCATTCTCAAGCCCACCGCCTCTGCTCACTCTAGCCGCCGGCCTCTGCTCACTGTAGGCCGCCGCTGCTCACTCTAGCTCGCCGTGTGTGACGCTGTGTTTCGTTGTGAAAGCGAAACTACTTTGTTTGGCCTTCCAAAAGAGGACACGACTAGAAATCAGTGGTTAAGTTGTATTTAAAACACTGTTCCAGAACACTTCAACCCAAATATTCAGATGTGTGCAGCACATTTTATGGAGGACTGTTTCCTGATCCTGGTAGAGTAGACTACAATGCCGGCAGTTCTGACTCACAGACTGTACGTAAATTTTTTATATTCAAAGAATTTGCCACTGATGATTCAAACGTGAGTTTTGGGCAGTGTAGAGTAGCAATTGTTGTTTGTTATTTCTCTGATCACAAATGCAGACATGGTTTTATGTTTACGCGGCGCGATGCAACGCAATGTGTAAAAAGACAGTATAAGTCATTATAATCCGTAATTAAGTCCCCACTGGATGCAACAAATGCCTCATTCATGGGTTTTAATGTTTCGTCACTCTGGCCTGACAGGGCATCACAATATGGTAAGGGGCGTAACATTTCTGTCACACGCTTGAGGTATTCAGCCAATCACAACGCACTGGATAGCTGGCCAATCAGAGCACACCTCGCTTTTCAGACCGATGAGCTTTGTAAAAATCAAGGCATTTCTGAAAGGCGGGGCATAAAGGAGAAACAATAATGTACAGTATGTGGAAAATAATGTTTTTTAACCTTAAACCGCATAAACACATTTCATTACACCAAATACACAAAATAATGTTCTTTTTAGCAACATCATATGACCCCTTTAAACAGGCCTGCTCAGATGTGACGTTCCTCTTTTCTCACACAGAGGCAAAGAAAAATCCAGCGAGAACGTCTCATCACTGAATTCTCCAATGCGCTGGCCCTTTTCCAGAAAGCTCAGCGAGAGGTAGCAAAGAAAGAGAAGGAGTTTGTGGCACGTGTCCGAGCGAGCACGAGAATTTCAGTATGTTTCATCTGTTACGTTTGTGCTTAAAGAATTACATTAATAAATTGATATTATCCACCCAACTGAAGGTTAAATCCCAAGACCATTTATACAGACACTAATATCTAACGTGAAAGTGCCAGTTTCTATTGTCCATCGTTTTGATAGTTATACAATGTTATTTTAGTATCATTTATTTACTATTATACTTTTTGTTAATATTTTGAATTACATTTTATTTTTATATTTTGTGCTTTTTGTAGTTTTTAATTTAATTTAAAAGTGTTTTATTTTGTTGTGCTTTTGTAATTCCTATTATTATTTTTTATATATATATATATATATATACAGGTATGTAGGTTTTATTAATTTTTATTTATTAGTTTTAGTTTATTTTGTTTATTTATTTATATATTTAGCTGGGTTAGTTTAGTACTTCAAGTTAAACTAAGGAGAAATGTTGTCGTGGAAACTAGCTGAAATAAAATAAGTTTAAGGGTGTTTTTTAGTATCTACTGTATTTCAGTTTATTTTATTTCAGTATATTTTAACTTTTTTATAGTTTTAGATTTAGTTAGCTATAATAACCCTGGTTATACATACTATTTAAAAGCCACATATGTCACAAGATAGGATGCATCTAATGTTTGTTTAAAGAGCATGATTGTGAATAACAACTTTGTCGCAGTACTGCAGATGATAAAGTATAATGGTGTTTTTTGTGAGTAATAAAAGTGGCATATTGGCACACATTATTAAGGTTTTCTATACGTTATCCTCACAATCTTCTATCTGTCCCCAGGGTGGCGATTTAGATGATGGGTTTGGAGGATTTCCATCACCCTTTCAAAGGTTAGACACTTTAATATTATTTGTCATATTTATGCATAAAAGCAAAATGCTTGCTAAAGGGCTGCCCAATTAATTTATTGTATAGGCAGTAATTTATCTTCTTTTTGTAATTTGTTGTATTTGAAAAGCATTTGTTTTTGTTTTTTTCCATGATTTATTGCATTTTAAATTAAATTATGTAAATAATGTTGAATCACCCTTTTCCCAAAAACTGAGATGCTGCTGTGGAGATAAATAAAGAAAATTCCATTTATATGAGGTTAATCCAGATGTGTTTGAAGTGAGAGAGTCTGAGTATAGATTAATATTCAAAAAGAGACAATAAAATGTTTGATTTTCTGTATATTTGTGCCAGTTTCATGTCTTTTATATAATTTTTCTTCTCTACATTTACTCAAACTGCTTTGGATAAAAGTGCCAAATTTAGTATCCCAAATTTGACAAATATAACTGTGAAAAATATCCTTCAGAAGATGGAAAGTACATATCTTTTTTTTTTTTTTCATTTAAAAGAGAAACAAAACACTTGTGTATTGAGTTTGAAATTCAAGATATAATGATGAAAGAATGAAAAAAAAATAGTGATTGTGCAAAGATGTGCAAAGATGAAGATGTAATTAACATGAACTCCCAGCAGAAGCACATTATTAAACATTGACTGATGAGGGGAGGAGACATTTGCGTATAAAAAATCAGCAAAGCGTATTGTTTGCCAAAGTTGGTGTCATCCTGCTCACTGGGAACAATGCAAACCCTTTACACTGAGGACCGAATGAGACTGGACTCACTCTGGTGTAAATACAAATATTAGATTCAAATTCATTGTTGATTTGTTCTATATACAAGAAGGAAGACTTGATGTCTCTCCAGAGTACTTCACACATCATGAATCTAACAGCAGTGAACCAAAGCGACGTCTGTCAGGAATATTGGTGTCCAGAGAGATCTGTTTCTTTATCTGTCTATGTGATTCTGTATGTGGCCGCAGCGGCTGTGTCTCTTCTGACCGTGTGTGGAAACCTGCTGGTCATCATCTCTGTTAGTCACTTCAAGCAGCTCCACACACCTGCGAACATCCTCATCCTCTCTTTGGCTGTGTGCGATCTCCTGGTTGGAGTTTTTGTGATGCCGTTTCACTTATCTTGGCTTATTGAGTCATGTTGGATTTCAGGATCAGTAATGTGTTCAGTTTTCAATTTTGTGACTTTTCAGGCGACAAGCGTGTCTGTTCACACTGTGGCTCTGATAGCTGTTGATCGGTTTTTGGCTTTAAGTTCTCCTTTCCTTCCTACAATCCCTGCCGGTACGAGACTCAAACCCACAACCTTTGGGTTATGAGTCCAACTCTCTAACCATTAGGCCACGACTTCCCCTGTCGGTGTGTATCCTGTCGCAAAATGCGGCGAAAAGCACAATGCTGGTGGACGAGGAGATACCCCCTGACAATGTAAAGCGCTTTGAGTGCCTAGAAAAGCGCTATAGAAATGTAATGAATTATTATTATTATTATTATTATTATTAAAATTGGAGTATTGTTGTCCATGTAAACGTACCGAGTGTTTCATTACTGAATGATTCAGCATTTTTGAACGAATCAGGTGAGTCAATGATTCAGTGAGCCATTCATAGGCCGTTTCTCAAACGGAAGGCTGCATCCTTTGGAGGTCGCATTTGTAGGCTGCATACGTCGTATAGGGGGAGAGCGGGGCACAAAGTAACACTTTTTGACTTTCTCAGTTTGTGTAAATCCACATGGGTTCAGAATATAATTTTTTTATCCACAGTAATTTTACACTTGTCTAGTACAAATATGACACTTCGTTTCATAATTACAGTGTATAAGTTTTTCTTTAGGCTATTTACCCTCAAAAAATGGAAGTGAAATGTGACAACATGACCCGTAGGTGGGGTACATTGTAACATCTGAGGGGCACTTTGTAACATGACCATATGACAGCTTAAAATGTTATCTGATCGAATGAAAAAAAGACAAACTAAAATATTTTGTTAATAAAATAAAATAATATAATATATTTTTCAAATAAAATAATGGCGTTTTTTAAGAATTAAAAATAATCTGATTTTGGAATTTGACGATGAACACATTGCAACCATGCTTGGGACGGCCCACATAAACGAGCAAAAATGCTTTACATGTCTTGAAATAATAATTTCGAAACATTAAACATTGACTGTCAGTCTTTATTCACCTGTTTCTCGTTGTTTCTCGTTAAAATTCATTAAATAGTGTAAATTACATCGCTAATGTCATAGAATAGCACATTGTAACGCAGTGTTACAACGTGCCCCATCCACGCAACTGGAATTTAAAACTGGTTAGTGTCTTCTGCTAGTTATCAAAGCATTAAAAAACTATCTGAACTGAAAAATAGCAGATTGGAGATTAAAATAATAGCAGATTTGTCTCATTTTAAATGAATAATAAAAACTGAGATGAAAAATTTACTTAAGCCAGAATTTTTATATTACTATGGTAAAATAAATGTATTGTATGTATGTAAATATCGTCAAAAGATTTTAGAATTTTGGCACACTTTTTTTCTATATAATGTTGATTATTAACTAATAAATACTGTAAATTTTGTTATGCTAGCATGTGTGGAAATATTCAAACCATGTGTGTTACAACTAACCCTGCGTTACTTTGTGCCCCGCGCTCCCCCTAAAGAAGATAAAAAATTTTTAAATATTAACAGTTATAAATTTGACCATTATTCTAGTTAAGTGTAAATTGTTGTAATTTGCTTATGGCTCGCGAATATAATGCTCAGTTAACTGAAATAAATCAGGCTTGATGACGTATGCAGCCTGCAAATGCAACCTCTGGAGGATGCAGCCTTCCGTTTGAGAAACGGCCATAAAGTCACTTGCTTCATTTATTGAATGAATGAGCTGTTTGAACGAATCGGTTGAATCAATGACTCACTCATTAAGACAGTGACTTGCCGCCACCTACTGGTGGTTTGGTTTCATATTGGTTTCAAATCATTGCATTTTTCCAACATTTCATATTTGTATGTTAAAAAAGTAAAACATTAATCTTATAATATTATTTATGCATTTGCAATTTTACTGTGTAGGCCTAAATGCATTCATGGAACCTCTTCATTAAAAAGTCTGAGTAAATACATCTAAATGGCATTTCTGATGCAGCTCCTGTTTCATCTACAGTGGAAAGATGGAGTGTGTTGATACTGATTTCATTTGAATGGTAACAACCATACAGTGTCTTATTATTCTAACTGAATGTATTGATAAAATGTAAGAATTTGACGTTAATTATGACGCGTATATTTTATAAATTTAAGAAAATATTGCCCTTCATAAAGTTAAAAAAGTGTCCTAGAATCAATTTAAGGCAAATGTCACAAATATGCTGATTAAAGTAAGACCTGATAGAGCATTGATGAGACTATTGCTTCAGAATAAATTACATTTATGCCAAAAAAAAAAAAGTTGTGACTGACCTGCTGTGCAATCTTTTCTCTCCTTGCATATTTATATTGTTTCTTAATTTTTGTTATTTTTCTCTTGTTGTAGGTCTGAATTGATTATTATTGCTGCTTTCCTTAGACACCAGTGTATTTAACAAACTCACTAACTTGGAGAGGGGTGGCTGCAGGTCAGAGTAATGGGAGTGGCAAAAGGTGGCGTGCCGAAAGGGTAATACTACAATCGAAACTAACCCTAACCAGCACGCCCTAATCTTTGGCCACGCCCACTGCTCCAGCCTGATTCTATCCCTGGTTTCGGAAAAAGCTTCAAATTAATTTTCACATTTAAAGTGTTAAATAAAGACCCCTCCCTGATGAATGTCCTGTAACTCACTGAATAAGACACAATGTTTCCTCTCTGTTTTTCCTGTTGTTTATTTTTATATATTGTCTAGGTTAATATACATTATTTTGTCATCTTAAACATGAATCTTTACTACAAAACAGCTATTGAATATTTCCTCAATTATTGCAGAGATACAGTTAACACATGTTGACCTTTTTTAAAAACAGGCTCCTCGTAGACTACTAAAATATACTGAGATTGAGATATAGCCCATGTGTACAGCTATAGCTCCAGTCTCCCCTCTGTAATTCATTATTTTAATACTAAAATGGCAAAAACTATGATCAGGAAAACCTTGTGAAACCAGGCCTAAATGTGTTTAAATGTTGTACTATCTATGTCTATAACATGTGTTTATTTCAGTAATTAAGTTGCATAATCATGTTTAAAAGCTCTGACACATTCAGAGCCTTTAATATTTCTTAAAATCACTTCTTAGAATCATTCAAACTGAAAACTCGGGTCATATAGACCGATTAATTAAAAGAGCCGACTCATAAGAGTCATATATTTGAGAACTCAAATCAAGCCATAGGGAATCTAAGTGTAAAAAAAATAAATAATGGTCTGTATTTACACAGAAAAAGTTGTCCCGTAAAGTTTCTGCCAGTGATTAGACATAAATTTGTTCTTATATCCTCATTAGTGTTGGTGAATCTAGATTATAATAAATGAGGGAGTGCTGTCTATCGAAGGGTTTTCTGTATAACCTCTCCCACGCACTGTCTCTCGAGCATGCGCTGCAAGTTCTTTGAGTAAAGCAAAGTACACCATTCTCACAACCCATTTAAACACAATAAACTAATAAACTATTTTTATACGGACCCAGAGTACACGTAGTATCATATTCAAAACATCTCATTTGCTGGCTGTGCATACGTTGATTCAGGCTGCATTTTGTCATGTCATTTTTAAATCATTAAGAAACAATAAATACTGTAAAAGCCATTGCATTGCACTTTTATGGCTCTTTTCATAATGTTTGTTCTAGTTATATTTTTGTACCTATGGCGGAGTGTAGGATACCTAAAGCAGACTAATTTAAAGTTTAGAAACTTTTCTCTTTATTCACTTCTGTTTTCTGTGTGTGTGTGGGTGGGTGGGTGGGTGGGTGGGTGGATGCATTTTCAATGTGTATATATAACACTTAAAACCTAATATGTTAACATGCAACTTAAGAGTCAGTTGATCTCCCAACTATATGTTCTTCTCACTTGATGCTGCTGGTATTGGAAAGAGTCAACATGTCAAGTTTATAAAAGGCAGCATGGGTTGTAGCTTTTTATCAGGTGTTGTGGAGCCTCCAGGAATCAGTGTAGGTTTGTGTTTCAGATGATGAGAAATTCAGAGCTGTTGGAGATACAGTTAGCATATCTTCAGAGATCTTTATCTATGGCTACGCATTTTGTATATAAAGGAAGTCACAGGGAGCAATACGCTTCACAATGAATCTTACAGCAATGAACCAAACCGACGTCTGTCAGGAATATTGGTGTCCAGAGAGATCTGTTTCTTTATCTGTCTATGTGATTCTGTATGTGGCCGCAGCGGCTGTGTCTCTTCTGACCGTGTGTGGAAACCTGCTGGTCATCATCTCTGTTAGTCACTTCAAGCAGCTCCACACACCTGCGAACATCCTCATCCTCTCTTTGGCTGTGTGCGATCTCCTGGTTGGAGTTTTTGTGATGCCGTTTCACTTATCTTGGCTTATTGAGTCATGTTGGATTTCAGGATCAGTGATGTGTTCAGTTTTCAGTTTTGTGACTTTTCAGGCGACAAGCGTGTCTGTTCACACTGTGGCTCTGATAGCAGTTGATCGTTTTTTGGCTTTAAGTTCTCCTTTTCTTTACTCTGAGAAGATCTCACCCACTGTGATCTGCATAGCAACTTTATTTAACTGGTTGTTTTCACTCTTTTATAACTTCACTCTTCTTTTTGTTAATGGAAACTTTGCTGATGTCACGTGTCCAGGAATATGTATTGCTAGTATAGATGGGGTTTCATCCCTCATTGATCTCCTGTTTGTGTTTCTTATGCCTTGTACACTCATTATAATATTATACACTCATGTTTTTGTCATTGCTAAGAAACATGCGACTGCTATAAGAGCCCTTCAGGTTCACAACAGCACACAATCCTCCAAAAACAGAGTCAGTGACAAATCAGAGCGAAAAGCTGCCATACTGCTGGGGATTCTGGTCCTTGTGTTTCTCCTGTGTTTACTGCCATATTATATTTGTACTTTAGTGAGTTCATATGACAATGCTGACAGGTTTTATGTCAGAAATGTTGCTGTAATATTTTTCTTCTTGAACTCCACCATTAATCCCATCATTTATGCTTTATTCTATCCCTGGTTTCAGAAAAGTTTAAAGTTAATTTTCACATTTAAAGTGTTGAATAAAGACTCATCCCTGATGAATTTGCTCCAAGTCACTGAATGAAAAACAGAATGTTTCCCCCTTTTTTTGTTTTTTAATTTTCACACTAGTATAAACTATTTTCATCCAAAGAGTGCTAGTAAATTTCTTAAAAAATTACAAATAAAGGGCAGGTAACATTGAATTAAACATGGAATTTTTAAGTAGAGAAACTGAAATAGTATTTTCTTGTAGAACATACTCCAATAATCTTTGTTTTATTTACAACTTTGGAAAATTATTTTTACAGTTAGGTTAATGTTTTTTTTTCTACATTATTTTTGTTATATTAAATATGAGTCTTGACTATAACCCAGCTATTGAATATTTTGTCAATTATTGCAGAGATGCAGATCATTTAAAACATGTTTACCTTTTTTGACAACAGGCTCCAATAGCAGAGTACTGAAACTGAGATTGAGATATATCCCATCCCTCTGTAATTCGTTACTTTAATACTATTATAAACCGTTAATGGGTAAGGAAAACCTTATATGTGGATTTGTGTGTGTGTGTCTGTGTGTGTGCATGTTTATGTGGTTTATGAGGACACAAATTTGTATAATAACATGGGTATGACATAGGTATTACAACGAGAAGGTGATTTATGAGGACATTTTCAGTGTCCCCGTAATTCAGAAGGCTTATAAATAATTCAGGCTTATAAAATCTAAAAATGCAGAAAGTTTCCTGTGAGGGGTAGGTTTAGGGGTAGGGTTGGTGTAGGGCAATAGAAAATACGGTTTGTACAGTATAAAAACCATTACGCCTATGCAGAGTCCCCTTAAACCATAAAAACAAACCTGTGTGTGTGTGTGTGTGTGTGTGTGTGTTCAAATGTTGTAGTCTAACTACATGTTATGTTTGCACCCAGTCATGGATCATATTAACACGAACCAGGCCGTAAACATATTATTGGCTTATTTCATTAATTAAGTCACATGATCATGTTGAAAGGCTCTGTCAGATTTAGAGGTTTTAATATTTCACTTGATTGAATCATTCAAACTGACAATGTGGGTCTTACAATCGGCGCCGTGTACACGTGTCAGTTAAGTCCGCAAGACCATAGGGTGTCCCATTCTTCATTTTAGCTTTCAGATAGGTGCTCGCGAGTGCCCTTTGTGGCCGCTATGCACCCTCAATGTGCACTTCTGCCGAGCCCACACTGAGGCGAGCTCTGCAGCAGACTACTACATGACAGTCAACGCGTCATCACGTCATGAAAGTGTGGACTCAGAGGAAGACCGCAAGGGTTTAGGGTGCTATTTGGAACAGGGCCGAAGTATGCACGGTTACAAAAATTAGATGGTGTGCGTACAGTATGCGTGTACTATTCTGGTGACGAAATTTGCGTCACGCGCACTGTATGCTGTCCCTCGTATACAAAGTAAACTGAAGTCAACTTTGGCCTTAAGTTCTTCATGGCTAAAGTAGCGGCATGTGACCAAGTAATTAGTGTAGCTTACAGCGCCCTCTGTTGGTGCAAATAATTAGGCTACTACATGATTGTTCTGGTAACCAACAGATGAACAAAACAGCCCGCAAATACTAGTCATCCTATATTACTGGTTGCTTCTCTGCCATTAACAAATCCTCTCCCGTGGCCTCATATCCCATTTAAAAGTGAAGTATGTACTATTGAGAGCTAGCAGTTGAAATTGGTACTGCTGTCCAAATTCTAAATATTGGAGTTGTTTCTCCAACCCAGGGCTCGACAGTGCGACCATTTCAGTCGCATTTGCAACTGAAAATTACGGCTTTTAGGAGCACCAGTGCGACTGACCCGATCATCATCATATTTGTGATTGCGCTCAGGGGAGCTTCAACGATTTCTAACGTTACGTGTTTTTCCAGCGTCGAGTAATCTATCACAGATATATCTCACGAATCCTTTCATAAGCAAAGTGTAGACAGTGTAAATACGAGATTCATTGCGCAGTGTAGAGAGCTTCGTGGATTATATATGTGAGCTCGCGAAGAACTAAGATGAGCGACAGCTTTGAATGATTTTTAAGGGAGTTTGTAAATGTGATAACTGATTTAATACAATACAATTCAATAAACAAGAAGTTAATATTAAGGGACTTACATTGTCTGACTATAACACTATTGTCTGATTTTGCTCCATTTCGTCGTCGAAAATAGTGTAAAACAAAGTCACAGCGCCTCTCCATTCAAGCACAGCGGTGTTTCGTTATGAATGAACGGGGGTTTTTAAACGAATCTAGTGAGTCAGTGATTCATGATTACCCATTCATAAAGACAGTCACTTGATTCATTCTTGAATGAATCAGCCATTCGAATGAATCAATTGAATGAATGATTCCGTAATAAAAATCAGTGACCTGCTGGCAGTTTTAGTTTCATTTTTAAAGTATCTTTTCAGTTATTTAAATAATTTAATATTTCTATATTCAAAATGTTATATTTAAAACATTAATATAATCATGAATTTATGGATTTAATTGCACTCATTCCACTTCTGAACCTCATTAAATGTCTGAAAGTACATCAAGCCACTTTTGTGTTCTGCTGTGCCACCTTTACAAATAAATTTTGTTAATATTGATTTCATTTGATTTTTAACTTATGTTTCTTATTCTACTCCTATTCTGTCCCCAGTCATGGATCATATTAACACGAACCAGGCCGTAAACATATTATTGGCTTATTTCATTAATTAAGTCACATGATCATGTTGAAAGGCTCTGTCAGATTTAGAGGTTTTAATATTTCACTTGATTGAATCATTCAAACTGACAATGTGGGTCTTACAATCGGCGCCGTGTACACGTGTCAGTTAAGTCCGCAAGACCATAGGGTGTCCCATTCTTCATTTTAGCTTTCAGATAGGTGCTCGCGAGTGCCCTTTGTGGCCGCTATGCACCCTCAATGTGCACTTCTGCCGAGCCCACACTGAGGCGAGCTCTGCAGCAGACTACTACATGACAGTCAACGCGTCATCACGTCATGAAAGTGTGGACTCAGAGGAAGACCGCAAGGGTTTAGGGTGCTATTTGGAACAGGGCCGAAGTATGCACGGTTACAAAAATTAGATGGTGTGCGTACAGTATGCGTGTACTATTCTGGTGACGAAATTTGCGTCACGCGCACTGTATGCTGTCCCTCGTATACAAAGTAAACTGAAGTCAACTTTGGCCTTAAGTTCTTCATGGCTAAAGTAGCGGCATGTGACCAAGTAATTAGTGTAGCTTACAGCGCCCTCTGTTGGTGCAAATAATTAGGCTACTACATGATTGTTCTGGTAACCAACAGATGAACAAAACAATACTAGTCTACTAGTCATCCTATATTACTGGTTGCTTCTCTGCCATTAACAAATCCTCTCCCGTGGCCTCATATCCCATGAAGTATGTAAGTATGTACTATTGAGAGCTAGCAGTTGAAATTGGTACTGCTGTCCAAATTCTAAATATTGGAGTTGTTTCTCCAACCCAGGGCTCGACAGTGCGACCATTTCAGTCGCATTTGCAACTGAAAATTACGGCTTTTAGGAGCACCAGTGCGACTGACCCGATCATCATCATATTTGTGATTGCGCTCAGGGGAGCTTCAACGATTTCTAACGTTACGTGTTTTTCCAGCGTCGAGTAATCTATCACAGATATATCTCACGAATCCTTTCATAAGCAAAGTGTAGACAGTGTAAATACGAGATTCATTGCGCAGTGTAGAGAGCTTCGTGGATTATATATGTGAGCTCGCGAAGAACTAAGATGAGCGACAGCTTTGAATGATTTTTAAGGGAGTTTGTAAATGTGATAACTGATTTAATACAATACAATTCAATAAACAAGAAGTTAATATTAAGGGACTTACATTGTCTGACTATAACACTATTGTCTGATTTTGCTCCATTTCGTCGTCGAAAATAGTGTAAAACAAAGTCACAGCGCCTCTCCATTCAAGCACAGCGGTGTTTCGTTATGAATGAACGGGGGTTTTTAAACGAATCTAGTGAGTCAGTGATTCATGATTACCCATTCATAAAGACAGTCACTTGATTCATTCTTGAATGAATCAGCCATTCGAATGAATCAATTGAATGAATGATTCCGTAATAAAAATCAGTGACCTGCTGGCAGTTTTAGTTTCATTTTTAAAGTATCTTTTCAGTTATTTAAATAATTTAATATTTCTATATTCAAAATGTTATATTTAAAACATTAATATAATCATGAATTTATGGATTTAATTGCACTCATTCCACTTCTGAACCTCATTAAATGTCTGAAAGTACATCAAGCCACTTTTGTGTTCTGCTGTGCCACCTTTACAAATAAATTTTGTTAATATTGATTTCATTTGATTTTTAACTTATGTTTCTTATTCTACTCCTATTCTGTCGTTTTAATTACAATTTTTAAAAAGCATATAAAATATATAATTTTTTTGAGAATTTGACAAAAGATGACATACTTTTAATAAAGTTAGAGGAGACAAATGTCACCTCGTAATGGAAAGGCTACTTTTTGATAACATTTTGGATTATTGTTTAGAAGGTGCTCCTAAAATTTTGAACGTGCTCCTAAATTTTTTAAGTTAGAAGCACAAGTGAGCACAATTGAGCACAATGACCATGGTAGGCATTGAGCTTTACTGTAAGTCGATGAGTTGATTTATGTGTGTTTTAATATTCTTCTTGACATAGAGCTTTTTAGATGGGTGACGAAGCTTTTAGGTCAGGTGGAATCTGCGATCTCTGACCCAGTTTGTTTGCTGGCTTTCATGGCTGCAATTCGCTGTTTTCCGCCAACTGGCAACCCGAGCTGTCGAAATATGATTGGGTAAATTGGCAGCATTCGGACACGAAACACACATTTCAAAGTAGAATAACTGGCTGTATCATTTTTTTCCGGAGAAACAAGCAGGCCTATGTGAACTATCTACAAAGATATTGTGGCAATTTTATGCTTTAGTACAGTCAAATCCAACAGCATATATGGGGATATTTATATGCATACATTAGAATTTTAAAGGCTAGAATTTTTCACTTTTAGTTTCTGATTTTAAACATTTCATATAAATTCACTCATGCTTTTGTATGAGCTCTGTGTGACACTTTGCTAAATCATTTGATCTCCCAACTGTAGCCTATGTTCTTCTCCCTTGATGCTGCCGGTCTTGGAAAGAGTCAACATGTCTAGTGTATAAAAGGCAGCATGGGTTGTCGCACGTGAGCATATGTAGATTGTGTTTCAGTGAGGAGCAGTTTAGAGCTGTTGGCGAAACAAATAACATGTTCAGAAGTCTTTATGTGGTTATGCATATATTGCACATTATATATGAAAGAACAGAGAACAATGCTCTGATTGGAATTTGACAGTTCTTCCAATTATTTCACAATGAATCTTACAGCACTAAACCAAAGCGACGTCTGTCAGGAATATTGGTGTCCAGAGAGATCTGTTTCTTTATCTGTCTATGTGATTCTGTATGTGGCCGCAGCGGCTGTGTCTCTTCTGACCGTGTGTGGAAACCTGCTGGTCATCATCTCTGTTAGTCACTTCAAGCAGCTCCACACACCTGCGAACATCCTCATCCTCTCTTTGGCTGTGTGCGATCTCCTGGTTGGAGTTTTTGTGATGCCACTGCATTTGTCTTGGGTCATTGAGTCATGTTGGATTTCAGGATCAGTGATGTGCTCTGCTTTAAAAATTGTGAATTTTCAAGCGACAAGCGTGTCTGTTCACACTGTGGCTCTGATAGCTGTTGATCGGTTTTTGGCCTTACGTTCGCCTTTCCTTTACTTTGAGAAGATCTCACCCACTGTTATCTGCATAGCAACTTTATTTAACTGGTTGTTTTCACTCTTTTATAACTTCACTCTTCTTTTTGTTAATGGAAACTTCGCTGATGTCACGTGTCCAGGAATATGTATTGCTATTATAGATGGGGTTTCATCCCTCATTGACCTCATAGTTGTGTTTCTTATGCCTTGTACACTCATTATAATATTATACACTCATGTTTTTGTCATTGCTAAGAAACATGCGACTGCTATAAGAGCCCTTCAGGTTCACAACAGCACACAATCCTCCAAAAACAGAGTCAGTGACAAATCAGAGCGAAAAGCTGCCATACTGCTGGGGATTCTGGTCATTGTGTTTCTCCTGTGTTTACTGCCATATTATATTTGCTCTTTAGTGATTCCGTACAGTGATGATGATTTGTTTCATGTCAGAGATGTTACTGTAATGATTTTCTTCCTGAACTCCACCATTAATCCCATCATTTATGCCTTATTCTATCCTTGGTTTCAGAAAAGCTTAAAATTAATTTTCACATTTAAAATGTTTAATAAAGACTCATCCCTGATGAATGTGCTGTAACTCACTGAATGTAAGACACAATGTTTTTTTCTTTTTTTTCTGATCTTTGCCTGTATTGCTTCATAATTTTATTTTGTCATATATTAAATGTTTTGAGTGATTTGTGTATGTAAGCGAATGTATTTAGTTTTATGTGTAACTAAATGTTCTGCCTATCTTGGCCAGGACCCTCTTGTAAATGAGATTTTAAATCTCAAGAGTTTTTAATTTCCTGGTTAAATAAAGGTAAATAAAATAAAATAAATTAAACTTGACTGTGAAGACATGGATAGTGTTTTCAATCATGCTAGTTTACTGTATAACAATGATAGTGGGGGGATTTTTTTTTCCTTTGTCATTTGCATATCTCTCTTATTTCATGTTTTGTTTCAACAGAAACGTTGAAGAGCAAAACCATCATGAAAAAAACTATTAACGAAAAGGCAAAAGTTTAAAAAGTAACATGCATACATAACAGGGCATTGTTTTGGCCAACAAGTATTGAAATTGATGAATTGTTTAAAATTATAACTTATAAAACACGTGACAATTGTCCCAACCTGACTTTTAAAAATAAATGTCCTTTTCTCTTTGTTCTTCTAAAATCTACTTTTTAATAGAGTTAACCATTGTCTAAAAGTATACTAGTGTGATTCCGAGTGTGTGTTCACGGTGTGTGTGTGTGTGTGTGTGTGCACTTTGGATGGGTTAAATGCAGAACACTAATTCCGAGTATGGGTCACCATACTTGGCCACATGTCACATCACTTCACTGTATAATTTTATTGTGTTTAGCCAACAAATATTACAAAAATATGATGATACTGAATCTGGGCTTAAAACCATAGTTTGTGAGATATAGTATATTCTTATTGTGATACATGCATAAATTATATAAAATGATATCAATATATAAATGTTAAATGTGATGTAAATGTGTGTAATAATTTAAAATAATACTTAGCTTGAGCAATTAATGGCATAGATGGAGCTTGACACTATCCACATCAACAGGGCCAAATCTTCACCGGTAGCTCCAACCTAGCAGAGGGCGCCACCTCTTCCTTATCCAGCACAATCATCAGTAAACTGAGCCGAGTGGCATGTTTCCAGTCTGTGTGATTGGTGTCTATCTCCACTAGAGGGGGCTCGGCGGACCAGAAAGTTGAATCTTCCTTCGAGTCGCATTCAAAATCTCAAATTAATTCCAAGGATTGGTATCTGTAATAAACAGCGAAATCCACTACAGGCGTCACTGTAAAATTAAATAAATGAATGTGCCCTGTAATCACAAAGCACGTGACCTTGACTCGACTGCAGCAGCGTTGGTTCATCACTGCAAAACATTAATATCCACGTACATGAAGATACAGATTATCAGCTATTAAAAGGCTTCAGTTATCAAAGTTATGTCGGTTATATTTGCTGCGCCAACAAGTAGCCTACTTCAGAGATCATTGTGATGTGCACTTGTGTATTTTATTAGTTTGAGGGCAACAGAGAATCATGGGAAATGTAGTTTGGTCGTACAATTGTCCCCTCATAAATGAATGCTTTTTCTTCATGAACAGAGCACAAAATAAGCTAATAATTATTTAAGTGACATGTCATTAAAGAAAAGTGTGTTAAGTAGCCTATTTAAGAAAATAAAGATTTCAAAACTGGAAATTGCACATTTATGATCCTTCCAAAATGGCTTGACCAAACCACACCCCTATGTTTATAGCTATTTCATTTGGTTTTGGAACGTTTCCTGTTAGATTTTCAACTTATTACACTGTATCTTGAAGTAAGTTGTTCTACTTGCGCAAGAATGTCACGTGACTGCCTTACAGTGAAGCTCCGCCCATTTTTGCCACCAAGTTTGTTTATAATTTCTCTTCTGGTTAGTTTTTTTTTTTTACGCCAGGAACTTCATCACGGTGGCGAAACTTTCAACGAGCGTTTGAAGAGTTTCTGCTGCGAGAGCCGGAGACTTTATTAAATCCGAGCAGCGGATGAACATACACTAGCCTTTAAACTCAGGAAACATGGCATTAATCTTTCATGCGAAGTAAGTGTTTAATTACAGCAGAGTTTGGCATGTTATACAGTGACAGCAGTTCATTCAGCATGAATGAATGAATCTGTCAGTCTCGGGAGACGCTCTGAACGCGGTTGAATCGAGTGAAAATGAGCGATGAATCAAAGCCAGTGGACGGAGAGGTGAATGATAATAAATATTTCACAAAAACAGCCGATGCTGAGGTGACTTTTGAACACCAAAACGCACCGCCTGAAACGCG